ACATGTCCGCGAGGTGGTGTCCGTTCCATGCCATAGGTGCATGACGGCCCATCCGGTCGGCGCTCACCTGTGCACCGCCTGCTACCTTCCCATCTTCTACGATGGCGTCCTGCCCACCGGAGACACGAACGGCGGCCCTCGCACGATAGCGAGCACTGACGGGTTGATTCCTCCCTGGCTGGCAAAATACGAGGGCTTCGTCCCCGCTCTGTGGAACAACTCAGACGCCAACGCCATCGGAATGGCCCTCTACTCGCAGAGTCCCGCCGTCGATGCCCGGTCCTTGTTGATGTCTGGGATGCGGCCTCCTAAGTACCTTGACAAAGAGGACGTGGATGGCATTTTCCGAAAACTTCACGACTCGCTCCGAGACGAAGTCCTTGACGGCAAATACCGTGACACGGTCGACAACAACGTGGAAGAGTGGGTAGCAAAGGCGATCTTGGTAAGGGGTCTGGCCTTCAACGGGAGCTCCGTCCCCGAATTCTTCGAAGAATATGAGGGATATGCGGCTGAGTGGGGCAGACGCCTAACCACCGCAAACTTCAACGCCAACCGATGCGGGTTTTACACGTCCTACTACATTCTTGAGGCCCATATCATTGGGCTGAGAACAGGACACCTTTCTCCGGTACTCCCCAACGACGTGTCCGGGGAGGGATTCAAGTTCCAGGTGGGGCTGCTCGCACAGCACTGCGGGATATTGCAGGCCATGCGGAGAAAGGCCGGATTCGATCCTGCCGCGCGCCTCAAGCGGGCTATGGACACGATACGGGAAGGCATTAAGAAGGGGTATGTCTACACCCTCAACGACCTCAGCAGTATGGACGATCTGATCTACCGGACGTCCACCGTTGCCTACGACACATGCTTGGCCGACCGTCCTCAAACCCAGGATGACATCAAACAGGAGCTGTCCGACCCTGTACCAAGGAAGTACCGCTTCCGACCCCGCGATCGCCATCGACCCGGAATTCGCCTTACACCAGGCCCCGGCGTGAAGGACGAAGACGAGCCCGACTTTGCTGGATCAGCGGAGGATGAGCTGGGATCGGATGGTTCTTCGCACGAAGATGACGAGAAGCCTGACGACCTTGACGAGCCCATGGGCGACGACGAGGAGGAGATCCCTCCCCCTCCGCCACCGCCCCCGGCTCCTCCTGCGCCGCCTGTCCCGGTAGAACCGGAGACTCCCGTGGTGCCGCATGCAGGCGTCATTTCTGGCGATGCTGTGCCAACTCCTCCTCCTCCTCCTCCCGCTCCCATTGCGGCAGGCGTTACTACGACTGGGGATCCGTTTGAGGAAGAGGACATGGCCATCAATACTCGTGTCCCTGACACCGAGTCCGAGCTGGAGGGTGAGTCCGACCAACCCAAGGCCAGGAGGACATCTCGTGGTCGGGTCCCCGCGCCCGAGAAAGGGCAGGGGGGCGTTCAGGTCCCGCCTAGCGGGCAACCCAGCTCTAAGAGCATGGCCCAGCCTGCCCGTCCATCCCCGGTCCCCGCGAGAAGCGGTGTGGAAGGTGGGGAGAGAAGGGGCAGGACCAAGGGTTTCTACACCCAGAAGGATCCTTTTACCGGCGAGGACGCGACTCCCCGAGTTCGTCTTCGATCGGGCGGTCCCGGAACTCCTGCGTCCCCACCACGGGATGCCACCGGTTCCTTGGGCGGCCATGGCGGCTATGACCCGCGCGATGACGACAACGACGAGTGGGAGCTTCCCCCGGGTGTGCCTCGGACCACTCGTGCGGCAAATGAGTCGCGGCCCCGCCGAGATGACGATCGGTCGAGGACCGCGCTTGGGGCCCGCGAGGATCGTCGCGGTCCTAAGGGTGAGGGGAAGGGTCGAGGAAAACATCGACCTGGCAAAGGTGGACGCGAGGATCCTGGCCCGCCCCGACAAAGGGATGATCGTGGCAGGGATACCCGCGGAGGCCGACGCGATGATCGCCGACCTCCTCCACGTCATGAGGAGACCTCCGAGAGGCGCGGTCCGGGGCGAGATGAGCGCCGCGGACGTGATGACCCGGGTGATGACCGTCGCGATCGCCACCGGGACCGGCGCAGGGATGACCGACGTCACCAATCAGATCCCCCTCCGCCTCGCCGACCTCCGGCTGGTGACCACAATAGGGGTGGTGGTGAGGATCGCCGTCGGGATGGAGGAGGTGATCGAGGTGACCGTGGCGGACGCCGGAGAGACGACGTGCCCAGGGACCGGGAAGAACCTGGTTCAGGGTGGTAGGCGGGTACCGCAATCAGCATCCGCCTTAGAAGGGCGAGGATAGTACGTGTGTTGCCGAAAAACGCGACCGCGCCGGTCCTCCTCTCGCCCATGCGGCGCTGCTGGGGGTGATGGTCTCCATTGCCCTGTACCGCTGATCCGGCGTTGCTCGTGTCCCTCCCGCACCGCTGCCGTGCGCGCCGGAGACGGTTCCCCTGGCGATCCTGTGTGAGGCTGTGACCGCACTAGAAGTGCCGGGCCGGCCATAGCCGGATATTTTCACACCAATTTCGGAACTTCCGTTTCTAATTTCCTCCCAACTCGACTACTCTTCCAACCGCTCCACGGCGTGCAGTGAGGCGCGGTGATCCAGATAGGATCCCCCTCCGCATGGCATCGTCCCATGACAACTCATGAACGGCACGAGAGGAATCTTCGTATGGTTCCTCCAATATGTCTTTGTTCACTCATGTGGTCCACTCGTCAAATAATCCTGTCGCCCCGATAATTCGGGGTGGTGGCGGGATTTTAACTGGGGCCCAGGTGATGCCGTTTGGCTCACCTCTGAGTTGACACCGGCATTTTTGGTTGGTCCCTTTCGTCGTGAACTCAACTGTCTCGCATCCTTTCTCTCGTCCAGATATCGGATGAGGGGGGTGTGTTTTGTTCACGTGTTGTTTCATCATGTGGCAAAACGGCCGAATGGCCGTTTGGCTCAAGTTTTCCACCTCCCGACAGGTCTTCTGCGGTAAAACGTCAGGCGCCATAGTGCGGCGGTCTTCCCCCTCATTAAGTAGTTTGCTGCTTGGTGCGGGATAGGGCTGGCACTAGGAGGTACCTGGTTTTACGGCGCGGGTGCCCTGGGCTTGGTGGCATACTTCCCGATTTACTATTGCAACGTGTTTCCAAACCTCCCCAAACATTTTCCTCTTCTACCGTCACATCCTCAACCCGGTCATCATCCACAGCTTCATCCGAGTTGTGTTTCCGGGTGCTGTGGGCACTTTGTGATCTACCTTGTGCTCATTTGCTTCCCTGGGCTACTTCGTGTTCGCCCAAAACCGCAATAAGTGATCATAAGAATAATAATGATAATAATACTAATACTAATGCTAATAATAATGCAAATTAGAATGATACTCAAAATGATATCAATAATACTAATAATAAAACTGAAAACGACACTGATAATAATAAGAAAAGTAGTACTGATAATGATAACGATGATGATAGTAATAAAATTAATAGTACTGAATGAAAATAATGATAGTAAAACAATCGTACGTGTACTAGTAGTCAAACCGTAATCCATATATTAACAGCAATAATAATAACAATAACAATAAGAATAATAATACTAATGATAGTAAGAATAGTAGTATTAATAATAATGATAGTAATACTATGACAACTATATTGATGATGTTAATGATAATGGACACTATAATGATAATGATTATGATAATGATAATGATACTGATAATGATGGACACAATAACAGTACCAATACTAATACTATTACCGATAACAATAATTATAGTATATAGTAATATGATAATTATTTTGATACTAGTAATGATAATGATCTCGATACTGATACTGACAATGGTATGATGATAGCAATAACAGTAACAATAACACTAATGATAGTATCGATAGTAATAATGATGATAATAATTATAACATTGTTAATGTTAAACATATTAATAGTAATGATATTAATAATAGACAATGATAATAGCAATTAATCATAATGATAATACTAATAATAATGATAACTAATAGCCATAACCATAATAATGGTAATAACAATAATATCAATAGACATAATATACATAGACAAACACATATATGTAGCTATATATATATATATGTGTATATACATATATATATATATATATGTATACATATTCACGCACACGGTTGTGGTACGGGTTTAACTTGTTATATCTTTATGCTGATAGCCACCACGAGGCACAGTTTTGAGCATGCCACTGATTTTTCCATTTGCAGCTTTGTCCCGTGCCTCTTATTGATCAAGCGACGCTTTAGGGACCCCTGCCAAACCAACAAGGCTTGACAATTTGTGCTGATTCAGCAGCTGCTTGTCTGGTTAGGTTTCCTTTGGTTGTCCTCACGTACACAAATCTACCCCGATATTCATTGGACATACGGATGGTCGCCTCACCCGAAAAAAAATATCTGAAATCAGTTTGGTGTTGAGAATGGGTTGCTTCTTGATTTAATAGATTTTCTCCCAATTTTCCACTGAGGATTGTGGTAGTGAAGTGGAAAGCACATCGGCATGAGAACAACATCTTAGTTTCGTGCCGCTTCGTGGCATGGTGGATCTAAAAACATGCATAGTGGCTTTTTGGTGACAGCGACTTGAAAAACCTTGACAACTACCAGTATCAGCCGAAAGAGCCAAGCGACATGCGATCGGACAGATACTGCGTCTTCGCTTCGGAAGCTACGGACAAAGCCTTCTTGCTCCGGACGGGATGTCTCAAAATGGTGAGCCTCTATGGGGTTGGCAAACGGATTGCCAAGAGAGAATCACCCTTTTCCCTTGTGGCCGAATTGTCCATCCTTGTGTTTTTGTCTGTATTGTCGCGAGCCAGAACTTCCATTTGCTCAAGAATATTTTGTTATTTTCCCCTGTTGGTTTTAAATGGAATCTATGACTACTGGGAATATTTGTATTCTTGCCAGGGGGCTTAAGCAAGTGGAAGAGAAGAACCACCCCATTTTGCAGGTTTCCCCAAAGACCAAGGTGCACGAGCTCTCCGCCTTCATGCAGAAACGCGCCCACCGCCCTCCAGCCATGATTTCTAGATGTGGAATATAGGGATTTCAAGCAACCATTGTGAGGCTCTTTTTTTATCAGGAAGCCATGGCCTATGGAGTTTGACTGGCCCAAAGCCCTCCCAATATGTGGCGCGGGCAGAGGGCTGGGCGTGCCGCACGAAAGCAAGGTCAGGGCGGTGCAGATGGCAGGGACAGTACTTGGGGGTTGCTCAACTAATCCTAGGTCCCCCAGTGCCCTTTCTCACCCCTTTTTTGGTTGGGAGTGTTCGGGACCCTACTAAAATAGACTACAGAAAAAAGGGTACCCTTATTCTAACCTCTCTACTGGAGGACCTAGAACACGTGAGTCCATGTTGGCACAACAGGGGCACGCCCTTTCTGTGTCAGTACTGATTCATTGTCAGATGCCCATCCCTGCAATGGTCTCCATCAACGGGTCTTCGACTTCCCTTCTAATCCCCACTTAAAATGAGTAATGCTGCCCCCATATCAATCCACCCTGTCTAATACCAGGGAATGTTCCCCTCCAAAAGTGATGATTCCCCACCAAACCCAGGGACACCCCCTATTCTAAAACTGTGGCTGACAGTTTCTTGGGGATATCGTTACAACCACCCAAACAGTTTTAGGGGCTGATTCAATTTGGGGATATCTTTACCACCCACGGCTCAAAGGCACCAGACCCCCCCCCCACGTGGCATGACTCGGCCAGGTGCCAGCGACGCGGTGGTCCAGGAGGTCCTGCGGCTCCTGCCGGAGGCTCTGAAAGGCGGGGACGGAGGGATCGAGGGATCGATCCGCCCGCGTCCACGATTTTCATACCGCGCGTGGGGGCCCGAGATGGGGGCGTGTCTCTCTTTGTTCTTTTTTTTTTGGGAGGGGAGCCCGGAAAAATGGTGGTGTTCGTTTTTTGGATTCCCTTGGACACCACTTTCAAAAAAAGGGGATGCCCTCAAAACAAGATGGCCACCCAAATGAGATGGAAGAGTGGGGCTGTTGCAAACGCTTTCTGTACCCTGTTTTCGCACTTTTCTGTGCTAAACAGCAGTGCCAACTGGTGATTTGATGCAACGATATCACCCGAAAAAGATGGTTGGCGAGCTCTTTGCGTTCCAGTATGTGTATCCTTCACTTGCCAGTGCAGATCTAACACCATCGTGCATGGCCAGTGCTATTCAGCAGGTGTGGAAGACTGCGACGCCAGGTATTTGCGAGCGCTGGTTTTCAGTTTTGCACCAGCAAAATGTGGAAGACACTACCAAGTATCCTTGCAGCCTTGTATTGAACGATCTGTGTGTGTGTGTGTGTGTGTGTGTGTGTGTGTGTGTGTGTGTGTGTGTGTGTGTGTGTGTGTGTGTGTGTGTGTGTGTGTGTGTGTGTTTGTGTGTGGGCGCGCGCGCGTGCGCGCGCGTCAGTATTGCCTACACGTACATGGGCTTTTCTCACACATGAGTTGAGTAGAAATAGCTGCGAACATGACACAGCACATAGATTAACCATTAAGTGAATGATATGATATGTTCACATATGCATGTAAATGCACATTGCCATTCAACTATTGGCTTGTGGAGACATCGCTGCACTGATCCATCTTGAAACAATAGTTACTTCAACATAGCATGTGCTTCACGTACAATCTACGCGTGCGCTTCGATAGTGCTCATGCTCCGCAAGGAGTCGGAAAATCACGCGCATACTTCTAAACATCATTTTACGCGCTCGATGCAGTTTTTCTTTCATTGTTCCGACAAGGGGGGCATTCGCAACAAGGGCAGGGCACATAAGACAGATGCGCCACGTCGTTCATAGTGGGGTTATGTGGGGTTGATCAAAAGGTCCTGCAAACATGGGATGCCCATTGGGGGAAGCTACGATATTATCCCAGCAAATGAGGAAATTTACTCATGTTGGGGGGGGAAACTACCACGATGATATTATCCCAGCAAATGAGGAAAGTTGCTTATGGCGGGGGGGGGGGGGAACTACTAGAGCGATGATATCATCCCACCAAATGAGGAACATTGCTGATGGTCATTTGGGGTCAACCCCCATATGTGTCAACCCTCATAATTATGTGTCAACTCTCATATATGGGTCAAGCCCCATATGCGTAGCTCACATGTCTGGCGCTCTTCGCCAGGAGCTTCGGGCACAGGCGGATTCTCGCCCGGGCGGAGGGGCCAGCTGTTTGGGCTCGATTCTGACAGACTCAGCTCCCCAAACCGTGATGCACAAGGAGGGGACGAGTTTGAGCACAAGCTGTTTGCAGGCCGAGCCAAAAGAAAAGAAGACGCCACAGAAGTCCGGGCTTTCGATGTTCGATCAGCTGGTTTCTGGCCTGCGATGTCTTTCAATCCTTTGTGCGGTGGGCTTGCTCCATGTTCGAGGCTTTCGTTCGAGCCCTGACTACAAAGAAGCACACAATGAAACAGGAGACTGGGTTCGGTAGAGTTGGCGCAAGCGAGGCCAGGAACCATGTGGGTTGCTGCCTGGGCCGTTGATTCAACTGATGCTCATGTTCGCGTGAGGCCACTGCCCCATCCCATTTTGGAATCACGTTCGGTCGTTCTATGGATTCCTTATTGGTGGTACTTTTCTCACGGACCTGTCCACCAGCTCAGCGATGGTGGAGGCGTTTGTGTGGGGATTTCTCTGAGCTGCCTACGAAGGAAATCTTGGCCTCGAGAGGCGCTAGAGGTAGTTACTGCAAGCAATGTACGCTGACATTCCAGAGCGCAACAGGTGGGTTTTTGGTGCGCAGGCTGTGTCCTGGTGCTTGGATCATTCCTTAAAGAGCTTGTCAACTTTGGCCTACCCTAGCGACACGGCATAGGGTCTCCATCTCTTGATTTCCCGAAAGGTGCTTCTTTCAGCTTCCAGGCCACCGAAATGGAAAGAAGGATCAAACACTCCCCCACGAATTCAGAATACATGGCCGACAGACCTGTTTTTAGCCAGTCTTAGAGCCATCGCACAACCTATCTGACAGCTCGGAACCCAACTTGATCGGGGTTCTTGTTCTGCGAGCCTTGATGCTACCTCAGATAACAGTCGCTTCACCCATGGCCATACTCTAACATACTCTCAATGAACTGTATTCACAATTGGATTTGGTGGTGGTGACTCTCTTACATTTTGCATACAAAGTATATCCCCCACAAGAGTTTGAGTTCGATAGCGTTGTCGCTTGGTATTCAGTGCATTCCAAGGATTCAGACGCCAGGCCGCGCTGCAGAGATACTCCGGGAGTGCCAGATGATCGGGGAGGCCATGCTCCAAGAAACGAGCAACACACTTCATACATTTTGGGAAAACCTTTTTGGTATATTATTTTGGGACTTATACATAGAGTTCCTGGATTTTATACATGTTGGGAAGACCTTTTTTTTGTGGCATGCAAAGAGTTTGGTGGCTGTTTTTGGGGCCCTCCACTAGATCGGAAGTCAGAAAATTGGTGGGTTTCTTTGCTATCGCTTTTCCGGAGCCATATTTCTACCTGCCCATTTCGGAGCCTTGGCAGAGTTGACACTTTTTGGGGCTCGAGAGGTTGTGAGGAAGCTCCGGTGATCAGGGTCCCTTCCCGATTCTTTTCTATTCTATTTGCTTCACGTCTTTGCGCGTGAAGTGAAGGGTAGCCGAATGTGCCATTGTCACACTTGCAGTTCAATAATATTCGACTCCTTGATAAAGATTCCAGATTACAAGCAGAAAAGCGTTCCGATTCAAATTAGAACAAGGCTCACCGAAGACTCACCCAGGCACTGAGGCTTTCAGGAATCGCGGCTGCCCGCAAGCGCGTTTTTCTTTTTTTGAAAATGAAGCTGCGGATTGGGGGTGTGTTTTTGTTTATGGGAATCGGCCCACGCGCTGGGCTGGCGTTTCCTTTCTTGGTGGCTCCCAGCCATCCCCTTAGCTGTTTAGCCTTTTAGTGTTTAGTGGTAGTTTCCATTTAACCGACTAACAGTTAAACGTTTAGCGGGGGATCTGAGGGCAGCCCAGTTTCGGTTTTCGCTTACCCCCCGGTAGCTCCCGAGCGTCAAGAAGCCAACGAACGCCACTTGCGAGGCCAGCCGCAGACCCAGACAGGACGGGCACATCCGTTGGCCTCAGATCTGTCCAAGCCCAAAAAGCCATCCTTCTGGGTGAACTATAACGACCTCACACGACCTCACCCCAAATGGTTTATGTGGGAGGGGAGTATCAGACAGTGTCTCTGAAAGTGTTGCGGTATTTGGTGGCGCGTTATTTACCTAGATGCCTACCAAGGGACACTTGTAGGTAGTTTGTTCAAAGAGCGAAGCTACCTCATTGATGGGCGGATCCTGAATCGATTTGGAGTCAGCAATGCTTGCTTGTAGAGGTTTGCTTGCCAGAAACCTCGGCCTACAATTGCCAGAGGCAAGAGGACAAGCGCAAGCAGTCGACTGTTCAAGCTGCACGACGTTTCCTTGGTGCCATTTGACCCCTCCCTGATTGGACCCTCATCTTTGGAGAAAACCTCAAAATCGGAGCCATCTGTCCGAAGAGTGCGCTTGCCGTCCACTTGACGACGAACAGCTCGTTTGTTGTGTGCTTCGCTGCTTACATTGACGCGCACTGATCGCCAAAGCGCATTGCAAACAATGCAGTTCCGCTGACTCCCCCACTTGAAGACACAATGGTTATAAAGTTGTTTTTGGGCAACAGCTTTTCCAGTTTAGTCTTGCACATTGTTTGCGTTTGTGTTCACCTTTTTCCCTGTGTTTTTCTCTGCATTCTTCTCACTTCTGCACATTGTAGCTGGTCTCGTCATTTTGCCCTCAAACCAAATGCCCCCCAAACACCCTCATACTCATATGACATGGCAGCATGAGTTTGTAGAACGTGCTAGCCACAGACGACTCCGAGCTGCTTTGTTTGCAGTGCCCAGCACCTGCCAAGCAGCCCATGCGAATCCACAAGGCGCCAAAATCCTGTCGGTCTTCGTGGCTAGAGAGATTTGGTGGTTAAAAAAAACACGGCGCAGGGAAGTGTCGCAAACCGCCTCGTGGGATGTGCCGTTCACCCCCTTGAACGCCCGATGCTTTATGTGACGTTTCCGCATGCCGCGCCGGAGTCGCGCCTGGGGCTCCTTGTCCGATCGCTAGCAGGAGAAGGGCTCCCAACCTGAAGCGAGAGTGGAGCGGGGGTGCTATGGACTGGACTGGCTTGGATCTTCGGACTTGGCCACGAATTTGAAGAAGGCTTAACGGCTCAACCCTGGAAAGTGGGTGGTGGACCTTCAAAACAGATGCTGTGCAGAGGGTCCCTAATGAAGAATTGGACTTTTTTTGGATGAAGTCTGAAAGAGCTTTCCGTATTGAGCCCACCAGAAGTTGTGAACTTTTTGCAGAGGAGTCGTTTCAGCAACCAAGAGGTGCTAGATGGGAACGGACCTGGTTGATGTGGGCAGGTGTCCCACCTACAAGAGTCAAATTGGATCTTTGCGGGAAGAACCCCCAGAAAGCCCTATTCATCCGAGGTGGATTGATTCGGGAAAGACGAATTACGTTCTGAAGGAACATCCTTCGGAACTTGAGTTATTGTCTGCCGCCTTGTTGCGTGCGGCATGTTGTGTGATGCGAATTTCCTGACATTTGCCAGGGTCTGATGCGAAGATCAGATTGAGGTATGTAGGTGCTAGGAAGTAGGGAGAACTGATTACTGGAGATTCACTGTGCATCCCTAATATGTAAGACCTTCTTGTTTCATCCGAATCTTTCACAGAGTTGACAAGGCTTGATCATTTGCTGGGCTTCTTGGTGTCAAGTTGGTCTTCAATTTGTTCCTTCTCCCCAAGTGAAAGTGGGCCCACACGAGCCAACATTTTTGCGGACTCAGTCATCTATTGTGAGGGTTTTCAAATCTGGCCGACCAGATTTGCACCAATGGTCTTACGTCCTGGGAAACATCCTTGTCAGTGGTGGACACAGCTTTGTGTCCACCGGATGGGTGGATGCAAACCGCGAAATGACCCCATCCCCCTTTGCTAGGAAGATGTTGAGGCCATCCGCGACACTTCCCCCGGATCGCAGGGCCCTCCTGAAGCTCCGAATCTTGTCTCAAGACTCGAAATTGGAGGAAGCAATCTCTCCCCAAATGGGCGGCTTCTCCAATTGGTGTCCCTTTAGGCCAACCCCAAGAGGGTGTACGTAGCTATGCCTTGCTTTGTGTGTCACAAACAAGCCAACCCCACGGTTCAGGGAGCCGTTCGCCTCACGAGAAGACCACCTCACCACACGAACCCCAAGCACCAGAAGCGGAAGCTGTTGCCTGAGGCCGCGGCTTTCAGAAGAAGCAGCGCAGGCGAGTGATCGGTGTCGAGTCGGCGAGGTTTGAACGCCCCCGGTTTGTGCTGGTTTGAGGCGCGGCTTTGACCCTAGGCGGTTGGTTTCGCAGCTTGAAGCGACAAGAAGTTTAACCTCGCGCGAGATCCATGGGTATTGAGAGATGAAAAGTTTGCTGAAGCGCTGAAAGGACCTCGCAATCGCCCCTGAGGCCCTGCTGGGCGCCGTGGAGTCCCCGCTCTTTGAGCCGACCTTGGTGGAGGCGCTGGCGTCGTTTGGGGGCCCCAGAAAAAGCGGCTGGGCTCGGCCACAGGGCCGAGCGAGGGCGTCCAGGGACTGGAGAGAAGAGCTGCTTCCATTTGCTTAAGTTTTTTCTTTCTTCCGCTGTTGGTTTTAAAGGAAATCTGTCGCTACTGGAAATATGATTCATTTTTTGCCAGGGGACAGCAAATGGAAGGCTGGTTGAGCCAGTTGGGCGATCCAACGTGGACCCCTCGATCCGATGTTTCTTGCGACTGCGACAACTAGGGAAGGTTTTTTGCGGGAATGAACCAGAGGATTCCCGAAGAAAGGAACCAGTTGGATGGTTTAGAAGGGTCTTTCCATTTCTCATTCCCTGCTGACCAGCAAGATCTATGGTTGGATCTTTACTTCTTCTTCTTTTGCCAGGTCTGATGATGGCGCAGTTGACATGTGTCGCGGCAGGAGCTTGCTCTTGATCTGCATCAGTTCGCCAACCAGCAGCCGAGTGCATATTTTGGAGCATGGTATTTCCTCAGAATATTGGGACTGATCTGGATTAGGTGGGGATTTCTCCGTAGCATGTGGAATTCCACAGCAAATCACGTCGATGGATATGAACTGAACAGGAAATTAAGGATGGTTCCAAATGTTTTGGACAACCATATGGAGCACGCAGCAGGGCCCCCATTTTTCATTGACCCTTCCCCCCCCCCCCCGCCCTCCGGGGGAACATGCGAAGGGCGCTTCTTCTAAAACCGGCTGCACACTTCACCTGCCAACTTCTCCCGCCATCTTTTCAAGAGTTACGTCACCTGCCAACTTCTCCTGCCAACTTTTCGAGTGCTACCTGCCCTGCCGACTTTTCCAGTGTTACTTCACCTGCCCACTTTTTGGGATCCGCGTTGTGCGTGTCGAAGTGCGAATGCGTCTTGAGCGCGGTGAACCCTGTGGAGATCGTGCTTGTCGAAGCGCTCTCGCAGTGGCGCGTCGCGAACTGTTCTTGACCCTCTGCGAGGGTCGCGTGTGTCGGATGGCTCGCGCTGTGTCGCTGTGCGATTTTTAACTTTCTTTGCTTGCAAAATGGTGTTTGGAAGTTGTTTCGTGGTCTGCGCGCTTGCTTTTGCAGTCGCGTGGTGGCGGGTTGGATTCCCACCTGCAGCTCCAGCTGCGAAATCGCAACTTTTAAGTGCACAAACATAGTATGAGAATAATTTCATTCCCATGGGTCCGGCTGAAAAATCGCCACTTGCAGTTCCAGCTCGAAAATCGCAACTGTAAGCGCCAAAGTGCTGCTCGGAAAGCGCGCTCTCGCATCCTCCAGCCCGTAAGGCGGCATCTTTAAACTGCAAAAAAGCAGCACGCAAACTTCACTTCCACATCTCCAGCTCGAAAAGCATTGTGGCCAACATCACGCACAGCGTCATGCGCACACGGCATGATTTGCAAAATCAGGCGCAGCGTCATGCGCGGCTTTGCGCGCAGCATCGAGTCACAACATCATGCGCAACATTACGCACAGCTTCATGCATAGCAAAAATATGGCACCACGCGCAAAGACTCGCAAGAGAAGTTGAGAGGAGATATTGTGAAATATGAGACAACTGACGACCCATTTGATGACAGAGAGTTTGTGTTTTTTCGCAACTGCCCCCGGTTTGTGATAGGTCCATCCACATGCCCGGCTCGTTTTTTCTCCATGAGGTCTGAGCTTCTGGAGAAGCTGAAGCCATCCAAGAAACAGCTTCACGAGGCCCCGCCCAGGAAGAATCAGGCGATGTATGTCCGAGCAGAAATCATGCGCTAAGAAACTTGGGAGTGGACAAGAGGTTGTCCTTTTCCAAAACCCGAGGTTCACTTCCAGAGTATCAAGCTTCAGAGGAGCAGGAGGCTTCCTTGAGACGAGCATCTTTTGCTTGCAAGACGGGATACCTAGATGTTGTTCAAGCCTTTCTCAAGCGCTTAAGGTAGTGGGAAGCGATGCTTATCACGAACGCTGAAAACAACCGCAGCCCAAAGAAAGTGGCTTGTGACCACATGGAAGGGTGAAACGCAGTCTCTCCGCCATCATGTTTTAGGCCATTTTAGGCTGCCGCAAAAGAAACCACCCCATGCTGACTCCTAGAAGGGCCGTTCCAAACACCTGTAAGACAACCTTGAATTGAGTGTGTCGTTTTTAGGGCACCCCCCAAATGGTGTTTTTCCATTTGCGTCCTTTAAAACAACAAAAAATGGGTACCCCAAAAAACACACACACACACAATTAGCAAATCCGCGTTCTCACCAATTGGTCGCCATGTTTTAGAGCTTTGTTTGGGGGAGTGTCGGTGCAGTGATACTTCAAAAGTTTTGCTGGCGTTGACACTTCGGCGGCCTTTCTTTTCGGCTCAGCGTCCGTCCTCGGCTCAGTGCTCCATCCTTGCAGGGGTGCCTGGCATTTTGCGGAACAGGGGCGATGGCAGCAAGCGGCCAATCACTTCCGGACCTAAGGTACAGAAGCAATCACTGTGAGCACGGGATTCCAAGAGAACGTTAGCTCAAAGGCAACTTCGCTGGATCGACGGTGCTATGCTCTCCCGTGCCCAGGGCCTCTAGGGAATCCAGTTCTTTGAGAGGCTCCAAGTTTTGTTTGGACGCCCGGCTCGCCCCGAGGAAACGGCTTTTTGGGGAGCCTTTGCCCACTCGGGCTCTTGGTACAAGGGAGCAAACTGAATGTCCCAATGGGCTGGGGGACTGGTTGAGGTGCGTCCGCTTCCTTTGCGCCCCCAAGTTTGAACACCCTCGTGTGAACCGATACATCTCACCCAACTTCGGCCAACTTCGGCCAACTTTTGTTCGAGGTCAAGCTCGAAGCACTGCGATATCGCGAACCCCGATGCGTTGTTTCGTACGGCCGCACATTGCAATCGGGGACCTGACGGAAAGTGGCTGGTGGACATAAAACCCCACCGAAATGATGTCCGTAGAATTCCCTAGTTCAGTTTCATGCCCATACTGATCGCCGCACAGTGACATCAGTGACCGAGTCCTTTGATACCTGAGCCTCGCTCAGGTGAGCCGTCCCCAAGATGGCGGTGGTCGTGCCGAGGAGCTTCCGGCTTTTAGATGAGCCGCCCGGCCTTCTTTTTAGCGTCGGTTGACTGGGCAAGTTTTCGAACAGCTGGTTATGGCATGGCTGACATGTCTGGTTGAGGGTCCGCCCTTTTCGGGTGGGGAACTTGGAGACAGGGCCATCAAAGGAACCTTCTTGGAGTTAGCTGAACATTTCCTTGAATTGGCGCCGTGTTGGTTTGACACATACACAGAGGCAAACACGCACCACATTCAACTCATCCGACTGAAACGAACACGTGCGGTCCAAGCCACAGAAACTTCCTCACCATCCGCCGGCACTTGAGGCAGTTGCCTGGCCTTTTTTGCGATGTCCATAGCACGGATTAGCGATTGGATGTATTTATAGAGGCATGCACGGAATGCGCAAGGATCAAGTGAAGCTTCCCGCGCAGCTTCTCCTTTGGTTTTTGTTTGTTCTTGTTTATGAAGGTGATACTCGCCTTGATCCTTCAATGACATTACATGCGCCTTGCGATAGCACCCCCATAAACAATCTCTGTTTTCACGGGGTGGCATCCCTTGCGGGGGACTGTTCCCGTTGTTCATTTTCACGCTTCTGATGGACCTTCCTCAATTCGATGCCATTTATTGCAACCGGGGTGACCTGAACCTCGCCTTTCGCCCACTGCTCCTCGGAGTCTTTTTACCGGGCCTAGGGCCTAGGGCCTTCTCTTCACGCGGTGCATCTGGCAGAAGTCAGGGAAACTCCTCCCGGTACCCGAGAACCCGCGAAACGGACGGAAGCCGGCGCTAAACAAATTGAGGCTGGAGAGGGGACAGAAGGGCGAGGCTTCTGGCGGCGTGTTCGGAGCTCATGGGTTTCCGCAGGTGGACGGTTGCTAATTGAAATGAAACCAAAGATGACCTGATTTGTCAAGGAATCTCCTTTTGGATTCTTTTGGGGCCCGGGTCCATATTCATCAGGAGAGTGCTTCCGGTTTGGGCAATGGGAACCGCGGATGAATGAACTCCCTGGTTGACGGGGGTGTCCGCTTTGAGTGGGGGCTCGAATCACTTTTGGCTGGGGTGCCGTGCCGGGCAGTTGGTCGGCTCAGCAGGCTGAAGGCTGACTTAATCTTCTCCTGGGATCGTCTTGGCATATTTGGCCGCATTGACCAAAGTCAAAGACTAAGCATTCTATGTGTCGTCCCATTGTGGGTCTTCTTTTCTGGAGGGGGGGGGGGGCTTTTCAGACGGACAGTAGAGTCATTACAATTTTACGGTTGAAGCGCGCAGAGGTGGGCTCTGGGTTCATGGGCCCTGAATAAACAAGCCTTGGCTTCATAGACCTTGATGTTTCTTGCCGCCCAGATGATCAAGCATATCTGGGGGGTAGAGGCGAGTGATTATTTGCATGTATTTGTTTGCCCTGGAACTGTTTGAAAGACATATTCTTCCTTGTCCCAGATGAATGTTGGCAACTTGGACGAACAGTTTTCCGCTTGAAGCTGGCATCTTAGCTGGTTTCCCTGGTTCATGGCTGACAACTGTTCCAGTGGCAGGTAGGGATTCATGCACCATTCAATCATATTGAATCCTTCTATCAGAGCGGGTCAAGAATTGCTTTTCTGTGTTACTCTTGCGGTGTGAATCAAGTCCTCTGAATCAAGTCCTGCTTAGTTGATCAGCAGCTGTACATACTTTTGCAGGAGGTGACCGAACTCGAGCTGTCCACTTCCATGTCGCTTTATGGTTTCTTTCTCTGCGATTCACTGGCTGTGATGCCAAAATCATTCCCCCCATTTGAGAAGGTGCTCCTGGAGGGTTTTTCCCGGGCAAAGGATTTTGCATTGCCTCACGGTTTCAGGACGAAGCAGAAAGGAAACTGAGCATTCGGAATCCTCCCGCGTGGCCTACACATTGCAATCAGTGCATGCTTTTTTCATCGCACCTGTATTGCTTTGGGGACATGGTGAGACTTATCCCAGCGTTGACCAGGTGCTGGACCACCAGCAGTTGCCGGAAAAAAAAGAAACAACAAAAAACAGCCTGCCTCCGCCCCTTCTTTGGCCATCGGGGTATTTCACTGGGGACACCATCGCAGCGAGAGCTTAGCGAGAGCTGAGCGAGAGCTTCGGCTTTTTCCGAGGTCGTGGGGTCTGGCGATTCCTGATGACATCACGCTGACTCATTGGAGTCTCGTCCAGCTGCGATTTTTCCGAGGGAGATTCCGCCGAGTGCCAATGGGAAGGGGAGTTTGCGGCCTGGAAAAAACCATGATGATATGTTCGAGGAATGATGCACTCTTCTCGGATTCGATGTGTCGCTTGTCGGGCTTCATTCTGGCCCGCTCGACGACAAAGGCAAAGACAGAATGTGCCCGTCCTGGACTTGGGTTCCCGGTGCACGAGTGGGGGGTAGACATTAAAACTCCAACCTCTTTCATGGCGTAAGTACAAGTTCTGAGGATTCCGATGAGCTCAGTTGCACTCACTCTTTGCCTCATTTTGTCCAACTTGTTCCGTGGGTTCCTTCCCCACAAAACATGAAACCCAAAGGGCCCACCGCCGTTCCCCCAAGTCATCTTGTCGAGACGTAGGTCAATCGTGTCACAAAGTCAGCGGCTCATTTGGTTTCTTAAGTTGGTTTCTTAAGGATCGACAAGTCCCAAGACTGCATCAGCTATTGCAAGGGAAGGTTGTAAGCGCTGTATTTCCTCTTTGCTTCTTAAATGCCCCAATGGGAAAAGGTGCTGGGCGTTCTTTCTGCGGAATTGCGTGTGAACTACCAGGGTACCCCATATTTCCTCTATCAACGTCACCCCACCAAATGGAAGCTCAGTTTAAAATGGCCTAACAGATGATGTCTAAAAGACACCACAAGGGACATACATATATATATATATATTCTATGTGTATATATATATATATACATTGAACGCCGACGCCCATTTGGCAGGTTGCCCATATGTGGATATGAAGCGAGTTGGATCTTTCTAGTGGTTTCAATGAGGAAGCCGAAAAACAACCACTACCATCTGAGGCGTTTCCTGGTTGTGACACGCACACACAGACACACAGACACACCGACACACACACACACGCGCACACAGACAGACACACACACACACACAAACACAAACACACAAACACATAAACACACAAACACAAACACACACACACACACACAAACACACAAACACACAAATACAAAAACAGACAAACACACAAACACACAAACACATAAACACACAAACACACAAACACACAAACACACAAACATGCAAGCACGCAAACACACACACACACAAACACAAACACACAAGCACACAAACACACACACACACACAAACATACAAACACAAAAACACACAAACACACACACACAAACACACAAACACAAAAACACAAAAACTCACAAACACACAAACACACAAACACACAAACACACAAACACACAAACACACAAACACACAAACACACAAACACACACAAACACACAAACACACAAACACACAAACACACAAACACACAAACACAGAAACACACAAACACACAAACACACAAACACACAAACACACAAACACACAAACACACAAACACACAAACACACAAACACACAAACACACAAACACACAAACACAAAACACACAAACACACAAACACACAAACACACAAACACACAAACACACACACACAC